ACAAATATAAAATTAAACTTCTATTCACTGAAATTACATTTTTGTCCTATTTAATTTTCAAGAACTGACATACCATTGCACCTCTAGTTACAGGGACTCGAAGAGTGCTTGACTCTAGATCTTCATTAGCTCCAGACAAAGCAAGTTTGTGCTCCTTTTCAATTGAAGCCCATTCATTGAGATAAGTCATCTGATCCATAGATATCACAATATAAATATGGAAATAATATTGGGTTTATTAAAAAGTGTTATGGGAGAATGAATTACTTGTTGATTTAAAACTGAATAAAGCTTTAGCTTCAGTTTCAACTGATTGAGCTCGATCCTCTTTGCAGCTACTGAATCATGGAGTTCTGAGGTACTTCTCCACACATTAAATAAAGATTTCTGCATCATGAAATATAATAAATTTAGCTATAATAAAGACATCAAACAAAAGTGTATTGCTATTTCTTTCATTTAATCCTTTTAGAAATAAAGAAACCAAACCTTAGCAGTTGATTTCTGGGACTTGAAGCCAGCTTCTGAAGTGGCATTAATAAATCTCCACTGAATTTGTCTATTGTGAAGTAGTCTGAGATAATGAGCATCTTCTATCTGATCAACAACTCGTTTTCCCTTTTTAATATCAGCAATAAATGTGAGAACAGAAGCTTTATTCGAGTTGCAGGGTTGTCTCAAAGGACTACAAGACCTTCTAGAAGGACTGACATTTTTCAAAGCCAAAATAGATGGCTTGTTTGGTGTAACAACAGGTAAAGATTGAGACCTTGAAGAAACAAGATTAGACATTCTTAGTAGATTGTCATATTCCAACTTTCCTTTATCGGAAAATGACGATAATACCCTCGCAGGATCGCTTGTAGATTTTCCTAAAGGCTTAGATTTAGAACTTGTTCTGCTAGGCCACCGATGTTGTTCCACTAGTTTGGAATGTAAACTCTCTAAAGGTTTGGAATTTTCCGATTGATCGATGACATTTTTACCCTTGAGTGGACTTCTTTTCCTCTCAGGGGTAGACTTTCTAGAAGGTTTCTGTGATACATTTGATGATGACTTTAGGGTTCTATCAGAAAGAGCTTGAGGAGGTGGCTTCTCTTTCTTACTAGTGGGCATGGAAAACGAATCAGATTGGAAAGAAACACTTAGACTACGCATTGGTGAAGGAATTGCCTTTCTGGTTATCACTTCCATATTGATAGATGTATCATGGATTGGGGTTGAGGGGTATGATGGTAATTTTGGTCTTCTTTCTGCAGATATAGCTCTATTTGATGTGGATACTTGTGGTGTTGTAGCTGTTCTTGTTGTGTTTGGAGAAGGACAACGCCTTGGTGTAGGTGATTTGTATCTAGAACTAACTTCACTAGTCTTTAAATTTGGCCACATTGGATTAAGCTCTTCTATCATATGATCAAAAACATTTCCCAGATCCTTAAAAACAACAAATTTCTTGACAGAGTGATGATGCTATATCGCCATAATTGAACTGTTACAAATAGATAAAGAGATGTTATGACCAAAAAGGTATAAAGTTGATCAAAAGCATAGGTCTTTACTCTTTATACTTTACAGGTACACTAGATCTCAGAATAAGAATTGTCTTGAAACTTGAAGCTTGAAGCAAAGATATGTAATTGGGTGTATGTCTTTAGAATACAATATCTCCCTGAATCCTAATCTATCAAGAAGATTTTCAGAAGTTTAAAGAGGACTAAATTGCACTTTACAGACCACACTTACAAAAGAAGAAGAATCAATTCCTATGATCGGTTTAGTTTCTTTCTTTTAATTCAGAATATTGAGAGGAAAATGGAAGGGAGAGACAATCAGAATCTCATTATATATATAACATATTGGAGTTGAAAAGATGAAGTCCATGATTACGTTTTTACAGTCAAAGTTTAACTATATAGAAACAGACAAATAGTTGCATTAAATTTAAGATGGTAATAATGTATATAATCATAAGGGTTGAGGAAACAAACATGGAGGACCATGTGCTGAAGAAGATCATTGTCTATCTCCATTGATTCATTGAATCAGCTCACGAAGACAAACATATATTTATAATACATATAAACAAGAAGGGTCGAATAATGTCATAAATCCATGTAAAGCATGTCTGAACCTCAGATCGGAAAATATTTTTAATATCATGAAAACTCCTGAAATCTCATTTTCCATTTTGGATTTACTTATTAATTGATGAAAAGAAATCTAGTATTTGATGAGGAGATTGATAAAAAAAAACTATTTTACTCATTGAATTTGCAAATTTCAAGACTGAGGAACGAATATCGATGTAAAAACCTGATATGATAAAAAAAAAAAATTAAAACCTCAGAATTTTGTAATTTTGTAGTACAAGAGTAACATTTTATATGAAGTTATGAGCACTACATGATACAATGTCTGGATTTTGCAGATCATGTCCCTGATTTGCGGAACAGTGCCGAATTCTCAGAATCGGTGGAAAACACATTGTTCTACAAAATTATTATTTTAATACCATCACGGAAATAAGATCTTCACTTTAAAGTGGATCTATTGTCTTCTTTTTTTACAGATATTAATGCTAGCATAAACCCTAGATTAGAAAACTATTAAATCAAACTAATTAAAAACGGCGAATCTCAATTGATCATTAATGACAATAAGTTTGATCACAAAAGTTAAGCACGTCAGTAGTTTTTTTCAATACTGAGATTGAAATATAAGAATCTAACAATCCTAACAGTGTATAAATTATAATAGTAATTTGAAATTTACACAGTATTCATGCAAACTTACGCAGAAAGAGATCAGAAAAAGTGATCTGAGCAGCGATCAGTTATGGTGATGAAATCATGAAAGGTGATTTGATCGATCGGATAGTTGAGGAGAGGTATAAGAAGAGTTAAATCCTGAAGTTTTGATTGGTTAAAACTGAGGATTTGAACAGGGAGACGTTGTTGAAGGAGGTGGAAAAGTATGTTTTGGCGCCACGAGACATCAACTTTAATCCAAGGAATAATCTTTTTTATGCTTAAGATAAATTAGGGGTGTTGAACTGTTCATTGCCGATGAAGTGGAAAGCAAACCCGAAATTGAGAATCGGTTTGATTCGGAACCGGATTAATTATAAACCGTATACAAACTTGGATTTTTATTGTTTATATTTAGGTTATTTAACAATTTGATCCTGTATTTCAGAAGACATAATATTCTTTACATATCTAAACCAAGAGAACCAAATTTGATGTTTTTGACTTTTCATCCGGTAAAAAAAATATTACGATAAATATAGTAAAAATCTTTGTATATTTTATGCAAATAAGTATACAAATTATCAACAATGGATATCCGATTTGGATTTGATCTAATCTGGAAACCGGATTTTTGACCAATTTGGATCGGATTATCCGATCCACTTGATTATAACCGGTTCTAGAGATAATCAAATTTGATATAAGATTTGAAAGTCCATATCCAAATCCACCATAAAATCCGGTCAAGCCCACCTCAACCCGGATTGAATTTGGGCTGGATCCGGATAGAATTTATGATTATGTGATTCAAATCGGATCGGATCTGTATTTGTGCACCTCTTATGGTCAAATATGTAACATTTTTTTATGTTTATTTGCAAAATCCAGTATAAAGATTTTGACCAAACCGGAGTTTATAAAATACAATAAATTATATCAATGTCATCTAAATTTTGAAACAAAATTTTTTTTTTGTTTAATATGCTAGATTTTCAAAAATTATTTGAAATAACTTTTAGATTATAAATTTTTGTTTAAAATAAAAGTTTTAGACTTCTACTCCCAAATGAAATGTTTTCTTTAATTTGATATTTTTCATAAAATCTAAATAGGCAAAAGCTCGTTGCCAAATATACATACATACACTTTCAACATACAAGTTGAACTCGTTTGTCAATAATCAAAACTCAAGGTGTATAAATGTAAATTTTACATGTTGAATAATATCATTTAGATTTTAGATACTTCAAAACAAACAACAATAATTTTCAATTTTTTTTTTTTTTGACAAAAACTGAAAGGGTGTAATATTTTATTTCAAAATTCAAACAAAACTTTACTTACGAAGTAGAGGAAGAAAGCCATACCATAAGTCCATAACCCAGTATACAAAAGATAATTAGTATAAAGTTTTAAACCACACAAAAATTCAACTTTAGCACATGCTATGTAACACAACATTACTTATATCAGTTATATAAATCTTAACTGCAATCATTAAATGCATTTAACTTTTCACAATAACAACCACCATGATGTAAAATTGAAGCATCTAAGTCTCCATGACATGCCACGTGTCATCTACACAAAATTCTCCTCCATTGCTTCCTACCAAAATGTTGAATTGCTTACAACTAATTTTTCACGCTCGTCAATAAATAATACCCACAAAACTTGTCCAACTGTTTTTCAAAATAGATAAAAATATATATATATTAAGCCACATAAATAGGAAACAGGTAACTAATAGTCTAAAATCCTAAACACTATTTTGCCAATTAAAAATAATGAATAATTTTATAAAACATATTTTGCTCTACAAGTTTCCATCATTTTGTCTTTGTGAATGACCGGTAATAAAATATTTTTAGTATCAAAGTTTCCAATTACTTTATGATTACCAATCATTCAAATTCATAATTTAATATAATAAAAGAAAAGTGCATGAAATGGAACTAAAAACACTTGAATGTGAAAAGGACAAAACATCTCCAAACTTGAACATAAAGCATGTTTGGAGGCTAAAATCATGAGAGATCATGTGCAAATACCTACAAATCGATGATTTTAATAATTTTAGTCCACTTAAAAAAATTCAATTGTACCAACTGCATCACTAGAAGTACCATTGACAACCACAAGTCCCATCTTTTCATTCCACTTATAGGCCTTCAACAAACCTAGAAGTTGTACAATAATTTTTTTTAATCATAATATAACGAAATGTATAGTCAAGTTATCAAGTATTTTTATCAGATTATGCAACGAATTTGATTTCTTACCAATTTATACAGTCATGTTACATAGAGAACGTGTTTCTAAAGGATCAAAATTTGTGGACTATGCAAATAAAATTCTATTTTGTATGTTACGTTTAATATTTATTGAATCCAGAACTTTGAGTCCTTCCAAAAAGTGATTCGATGTCATCAGCTTTGTAAAGATCTAGACTTTTTGCCAAAGCAAAACCAGCATACATCCCATCAACGGCTGCACTCACAATCCCACCTGCATACCCTGCACCTTCTCCCACTGGATATAATCCCCTCAATGACACACTCTCGAAGGTGTCAGGATTTCTAGGAATCTGGACAGGAGAACTAGTTCTAGTCTGCAAAAATATCATAATTTAGAGGGCCAAATTTGTAAAAAGTAAAGACTTAAAGGGGAAAACATGTTTTTGTTAATTCATTACTTTTTGGAGGAAACGAGTATGATTGAACGGAATATTACCTCTACTCCATGAAGAAGGGCATCACTGGAAATGAATCCTGGTAACTGAATACAACAAAAAACATTATTTATTTACATTCAAACTCATGGATTTTTTGAAGATTGTGCAAAGTCAAAGCAAAAAACCTCTTGGTCAAACGCCATGATTGAATGCTGCAACGCCTCTGTTATATGAACAGGAAACAATTCATGCAGATTTGCTGCCTTCACCCCTAATCGGTAACTTGATGATGGTATATTACTTGCTGACACAACAAAAAACCCGTGAGTAACAAACTTTCTAGAGGAAGGGCATTTATGTCTTTTGCTATCCCTGTCCCACTTTGTTCTACCTTTTTGGATAAAACAAAAAATTTGCAGTTTGCAGACTGCAGTGTAACAGACTGGGGCTTAAGGACACGAATCAAATCAAAATTTTACCAGACAATTTATTATCCATGAAATCTTTAACGGTTTGCACAGGGACAACGAAATTTCCACCTCCCATGATAGATGCTCTTTGTTCGAATTCCCTCTTTAAGAAAATACAAACGTGTTTTTAAGTAGAAAAGTTTGTATGATTTTGTAAATGAAAAAGTAATAGAGAGTATGAATGTTGATGATGGAAAGAAGTACCTGAAAGTCAACACCTGCAAGAGGTCCATGAAAACCAAGATCATTAAAATCCTTTGGTGAAACAGTGACAGCAAGTGCAGCATTAGCCCATTTAGATGCTCTTCGAGAAAATGACATGCCATTTATACAAAGTTCTGATGGATCTATGCTCGTTACAACCACCTGTAAATATTTTGGAAGGAATGGAATCAGTCAAAGGAATTGGAATCTGAAGGAATTGAAATGTGTCAAGCGTTTGGTTAGAAGAGTTTGTAAGGAGGTTTTGGTCTCTCCGGTATAAAAGGAGAATGGAATTGAATTCAACTCCGTTTGTTTACCAACCAAGCACCTCAAGGAATGGAATCTCACATTCCAATTCCGGAGGAATCCACAAACCAAACACAGCCTAAGATTCATGTTTTTATTTTACCTGTCCACCAGGGCACATGCAGAAAGAATAACAACTCCTTTGTGGTGTATCATTATTGTCTTCTCTTTTGACATATTCAACAACCTTGTAATCAGCAACTGGTATTTTCCCACGTCCACTAAGAACCTCATTGGCCAATTTTGAGTACTATATGTTTAAAAGATTAAATAAATTTCGAAAAAACATAGATATGCCACTTAAAAACATCATTTTCCTCCCTTTGTCACATAAAAATTGCAATAAGTTACTTGATAAATATTAGAAGAACTAGTTGTCAAAACAATCTTTAAACTATGAGGGGGGGGGGGGGGGGGGGGGGGGGAAAGAATTGTAATCTGTCATACATATGGTTGACAGGAAATGGAATAGAATTCAATTCTATTCCTTTGATTGGTTTATATATAAATATAATTTTTTGAATGGAAATTTTGTATATTTTTTTAATTTATATTTATACATATAATCTTTTCAACAGAATCAGTCAACCAAACATGCCTTGAGTTAAGTCAGATGCATTGCAATTTTCATCAGATGGAGGGAGTAAGTAGTAAATTTGCCACAAAATATTTCCAACCTGAATGCTGTTTATCAATTCTTGTGGATGCTCAATCCGCAAACCAACCTGTTGATAACACAAGTCCAAAATATATTATTAAAAAAAAAAGTTTATCTCACACAATATAAATGTATTATGCAAGGTTTAATTGGAACATACAGCAAAATCTTTAGGGACCAATTCCGTATTATGAGAAAGAAGCATTTGGTATACATCACGTGCAGAATGCCCAACTGCAAGAACAACTGCATCAAATCCCAGCTTCTCACTACTAAACCCTAATCTTCCACTTGAATCAGATACATTCACTCCAACCACATGACCATTTTCTACAATTAGATCATCCACCCTACTTCCAAACCTGATGTTAACCTTCGCAAATAACAAAATTCAATTAATTATATTAAATGACAGTGACAGGAGTCAGAGACAGTAGTAACATTGACGCAGACAGTGACACTGACACTGACACTGACACTGACACTGACACTGACAGAAGTTAATGAGACAAAATATTGCGATTATTTTGCTCTTGTGCAAAAGACGAAAATGCCCTCCTAATCAATTAAGACATGTAACTCACCCCCAAATCTTGTAAATGTTGTCGAAAGTTACGGAGAAGTGGTATGAGTCTATCGGTTCCTAAATGAGGCTTTCCATCAACCAGGATGCTTTCTGGAGCTCCAAACCGAACTAAGGTTTTCATAACCTGAGTTTTTGAGGAAAAAATGTTTACGAGTGTTACATTACATATTGCTATTAATAATATCAATAAAGAAATTTATGTATGTTGCTATTAGGAATAAATATATGCAAGTGTGTTGCCTAGAATGGAGAAAGTAGACTCACAGACAAAACACTTCCACTGTTCCTCCCAATTCTAGTCACCAACTTTCCATCACTCCAAGTACCTGCACCACCCTGTCAACCATAAGTCCATGATAAATAACAACGTTTTTGGCCATTAAATGTTGTCTGGATAAATGATGTTTAAATAATATTTGAGAAAATGATAGCACATTTTAAAAGAAAAGGTAATTGAGGGAAAGGTTTAAAAAAAGGTTAGGACTTAGGCTGTGTTTGGCGCGCCATAGCTAGCTGATAAGCCAGCTTATTTTTCAAGCTTTTTTAAGTTGTCATGTTTGGCAAGCCAAAAAGTAGCTTATAAGCTAGCTTTTTAAAAGCCTACTTACACTAGCTTTTCAGGAGCTTTATTTAAAATTTTCCAAATATACCCCTTAATTAATTATAGAAAACATATTCTTTTAAATGTCCTTTTATGGCATTTAATATCTTTCAGCTAGTTTTACCAAACGTCAAATTTTATCAGCTAGTTTTTCATATAACAGCTAGTTTTTCAGCTATCAGCTAGCTTTTCAACTAGTACGCCAAACATAGCCTTAACAAAGAAGGCCTCATTTCCCTTACTTTCTCCTTTGAATTCGTTCTTTCTGCATTAAGTTAAAAAGAAACACCCATGTATAACTTACCAGATTAAGTTCATTAAGTCAAAAAGAAACAGTATGAAAATGAATGAGTAATAAAATGTAAAATGCAACCTCGCCAAAACAAAAGTTGCTTTCGGTTTGCAGTATTCGCCTGACAACCAAAGCACCAATATCACGCCCACGTTTCTCAACGGGTTGCCCTCTTTCTATCAAAGTCACATCAACACCAAACTCTGCAAGTACAAGAGCAGCAAACAAACCAGATGGACCACTTCCCACAACTGCAATTTTTGCCTTTTTAGTAGATGGAAGCTTGTAAGAATTTAATGAACTAGTATGACCATTTTCTCCTTTCACTCTATCTTGGTTGAGTTTCTTGTTATCGTGTATTATGTTAACTAAATCACCAATAACTTTCTCATGAGTCGTATGCTCGATTACCCCAATTTTGGGTTCTAAGCGTGAAATAAAGTCCCATGTTCGGGGTTCAAGATTCAAGAGCTTATCAACGTCCATTTCCACTGTGTACACAAATTTCGGCTCCTTCTGACTCTGAAAATTGATTTTTTTTTTTTCGAAATGAGCTAAATTTGGACATTTTTTGTTGGTTAACAAGTGAAAGTTATAAAGAAAAAGCAAAAAGCTGACCTTTCTAGCGTCAAAGGATTTCCTTAAAACTGTAAAAGCTTCTGGGGGTAACATTGAAGCAACCTGGACAAAAAACATAGGAAGCTTTGCTCAATCAAACCAGAATTGCATACATAGAGAAATGAAAGATTTTTTGAACCATTGTACTTTGCTTTTTGTTGCAAACAGGCTGTCGATCTTGTGAATATATGGAAAGAAAGCAATATTTGTTCCGAAAATTAGCAAATTATGGAGAAAAGTTGCATAGTACAATGGTTTTTTTTTTGGCATTTGCATTTCGATAATTCGTCCAGAGTAGTATTTTTTGCATTTTGGCATATATGAAATGAAGGTCGAGTACGATGATGAAAATTTAACTTCAAAATGGATAGGCGTTGATCAAATGTAAGAAAATTAACCCAATTACCGGAAATTCAAGAACTTTGGCGACCTCCTCAAGCAAAGCATCAGACACATCAAGAAAATCTTTACCAGCGTCTCTATCAATGGGAACACCGAGTTTGAAAAGCCTCCAAAACCCTTTGAACTTATCGATATCGGTTTGAGTTTGTTGGATTGATTTTAGCTTCTTTTTTTCTGATGGGTACCTCGACTTACCTGTTCGTTTGGACCCTTTTCTGGCACATCGAATTAGGGGTTTGTGAGGATAAAGGAAGCGAATTTTGGGTGAAAATGGGAGCTGGTAATTAGGATATTTTGTGAAAGAAAAACTGTAAGGGCAGAGTAGCTTGGGGGAAGCAGAGAACATCGCTGGATTGGAGAGACGAGGGGAGAAAGTGAGGGGATAAGGAGGGGTTTAAGACGGGGGTTTTGTTGTTCGTTAAATTGTAATTAGAAATGAACCCCTATATTTATACTAGTTTACATTTCAGTCCTTTTAACTTTTTTTGAAATTAAAACATCGAAAATTAATGTTCTTCTCTGTGTGTCACAAGTAATGCAACACCAATACCCAAGTTCCATAAGAATGAAGTAAGGGATGTATGTGGTCTCTTCCCGAGAGTGTGGGATTGCTTCCATTAATGACCTCAAGCATAATCAAAATAAAAAAGGTGAGTTCACATTGGTTCCTACATATGATAAAGTGAGCCCCACGGTGAACAATAAACGATGTTTATGGTGTGTGGTTGTCGCTGTTACACCCCCGAACCGAGTAAAACGGCGGAAACGTCCAATGGTGGATGACGTCATGTACAGTATCATAACAATTGAATAATAGAGATCAAAGCATTACAAACATTGTACTAATAATTTAATATTTACATTGAGTTCGAATCATTGTTTGTTTGACTCCAAAAAAACATATGGCAAAAATATAAGACGTAACACTGCTAAGCTCCGTCTTCACAAAACATGTGTGGGTATCTGTCTACTGATTTCTTGGGAATACAGTGGTTTTGAAAAAGTGTCAACATTTAAGTTTGTGAGTTCGTAAGCATTTTGTATGAGAAATGTATGTCTGTGTTCCTTGAAAATGATAGAGTGTTCTTCCAGAAAAATCCAATATTTTCTTTTAAATGTAATGTAGTAGTCTTAATTACCCTAAGACTGAAAATGTAATAGTATTGTTGTACTCAGAAGTAGTGTAATGTAGTTTTATATCTTTATAAAACCATTTGAATGCATGTTTCCAGAATGTAAACTGTATTGTACTGGAAAATAGTGTAATGTAGTTTTATATAAATAAAAACATTTGAATGCATATTTCCAGAATGTAAACTGTATTGTACTGGAAAATAGTGTAATGTAGTTTTATATAAGTAAAACCATTTGAAGACATGTATGTATTCGTAAACCAAACGTATTGTTAATACCCCTTGTGAGTTATTATAATCATGCTAATGACCTAGATGGTTTGTATGACGTTCTCCATGCGTCGGAATGGTATGACATTTGTCACCCCAGACCTGTCGGTCCAACTGTAGCTAATAGTTTAGGTGCGGGATTGTCAGTCGCGTATAGATCTATACACAAGTGTCACGCTCTCCCTCTAAGAGACTCTGGTTATAATACATGATTTTTGTTGGTACTTAGATAAGTACTTGAAGATGTGTCTTACAAAGCTATATTGATTGTTTACGTGTAGTATGATAAAAACTCCTTTTCTTGTAAATGCATGTATCGTCCTTTTATAGTAGTTACATGTATAAAATAATTATGCTTTGAAATAATTATTTTTGTATTGTATCTTGAAATGATAAAATAGTGTGTATGTCTCATAAACTATACCTATTATAGTTTATAAAAATATTTCCCTGAAATGATGAATCATTTGTATGCTATTATCAATTTACCCTGATAATAAAATGAAATGAAATAATGATATATGTATGTTTATATAATTATACCCTTTTTGCTCAACATGTTACAAAATGGTTAAAGTCTTATAAACTATTTTAAATATGGTTTATTTATTGAAATTCAATTGTATGTTTCGTGTGTGTGTGTGTATATATATTGTAAGAAAATCATAGTGTACTTGTACGAAAACTTTATAGCTTTGCAAATTTTAGCAAAACTTTGCATATATATGCTTGCGAATTTGGAATAAATCTATTTCGTGTATTTTAGCATTTTTGCACAAACGGTAGTAAAATATGTGTAGTCATATTGTATATTTTAACACCACTTTTCTTGTATTTTACTTGTATTCCTCCCCTAAAACATAGAAAAATCATGGAAAATGTAGGGGTATGAACTCACCCCGTGTGTGTTCTTGGCTGGATAACGAAATGATAGTAACGTTCTTCAAGTTAGAACACGTGAATATAGTCGTATCCTAATTTGTTTTGAACACATAATAACATGTGTAAATTAGATAAACTAATATGTAAGTGTTATAATAACACTAGATAGAACAAGAGGACTTACAAGTTTCCTAAGAATTAACTTGAAGTGTTTTGTTTTCCTGGGGATGTTTTAAGATTTTCTTGGGAATACTTGAGGTTACTTGGAATTTGTTTGAAGATATGAATATGTTCTTATGAACTTTGAGAGAATAGTGAGGAGATTTGAAGTTGGAATTAAGACTTATGCATGAAGTTTTCGACCTAATATATATATATATATATATATATATATATATATATATATATATAGGGTAAAAGGTGATGTGATATATGCATTGGTATGTATATTTTATCTTTTTGGAAGGAGTGCCACCGTTTTAAATTGAGAGTTTTCGGCCTATCCCCACCGAAGTCACCTTGATTTCAATCTAATCCCCAACCGAGAAATCAAGGTCTTCGGTCAAGCATGTTCTCGGTCCAAGGGTGTTCTCGGTCAAAGGGTGTTCTCGGTTTAGGTGCCACCCACTAAGGGTGATTTCCGTTTTGAATTATTTAAGATTTAAGGTTTTCGATCCTAAAACCAAGAATCCTAAAAGCAAAGTGTAAAGTGTTTTGTTTAACTAATTGACTTTGTTTGAATTGTTTGACTTTGGTTTGACTTGTTTGACTTTTATTGACCCGAAATAACCGGTTGTTACAGTGGCTAAATAGAAAAGCATATACAAATATACAAGCAATATAGTTGGAGTAAATTTGAGCAAGTTAACAATATCAATATTATACGAATACACAAACACGAAAGTAGATCCTAGCATTAAACATGAAGTAGATACTAACGGTAAAAACCGAATATAAAGGATGACAAGAGAAAGATAGTAAAAATTGTATGACAAGCACAAACAGTGGAAAGTAAGTTAGTACTTAGACTACTTAAATTCTACTTTGACAACCCTTGTTATAACTACCATTATTATAACTATCTATACTCTCCTATCTAAGGTGGTTATATCCACATTCAAGGTTGTAGAACTTGTTATTCGTTACTTGTTCGGTTTACTGAGGAGTAGCGAGTACTCAGCCTAGGTGGGGGAGTATTTGAATATGAAATATGTGTATATATATATATATATATATATATATTCAAGAGTTAAATGCGAAACAACACATATTATATGATTCTTGTTTTATCGTATTTTAATTAAATGTAAAGGCAAGAATGTGTATATTCGTAAAGAGAAGCTATTTGGTAACCATTAAGTTAACAAAATAACATGTATAAATCCATCTAATCACTTAGCAAAGTATTTATTTTTTCCTCGGATGTACCTAAAGCACACGTTGTATTTATTACATGTATAATACAGACATAAGCAACAAGTTGGTTGTGTGGTTAAAGCTTTGATATTTAATCATGAAGATTAAGGATCGACTCTCTTCCCGGACATATTTCATTTTGCTATATTTAAAAGGCCATCCCACATCGCCTGTGATATGTGGGACTAAAACCCTTGCCAATCTCACCACTTATATATGGGGAGGTAATTCATTCCTTTTAAGCATAAATCTTTGGGGAGTCCCACATCGCTTGTAGGACAAATTCGGAACTCCTCATGTCTTCTAACTACAATAATTGGTTACCTTATATAATAGTTTCTCTAGAATTAAGCGACACTAATCATCCTTCTGGGTTGAACCGCTCCGAGTAAGTCCAAGTTGGATCCAGTCGAACTGAGTTTGATCGAGTTGAATGTGTTCCAATTTGGTTCGTCGAGTAGATAGAATTCACATCGGCCATGTGCCGAGTCCGAGTAACTCACTGATTACTCTGTCGAGTTGGCCGAGTTTTACAACCTTATCCATGGCTATAACCAAGTCTTTAATGCCTAACCTCAAGCTATCTAATAATTTCCTCATCAGGCATCCTCACACCATTAAGGATGACCATTTCCATTCTTCTAACTACAACAATTGGTTGCCTTTTATAGACATGTTTGAACCACCACAATCTTTTTTTCGACAATTTTTTATGATCAAACTCCCATAAAAAAAAGTTGTGTTCATTATCATGTCCAACAATGTTTTTGTAACATCTTGTTTTACGGGCTAGAAGTTTTGTGTTTTTTAATTGAAAAATAAAATTTCTAATTTTAAAATAAAATAATAAAATAAAAATAAATAATTGAAATGCTATCAAATAATAATAATAATAATAATAATAATAATAATAATAATAATAATAATAATAGATCTTATTGCTAGCTAATATTTAGAAAATAATAGAGTTTTAGTGTGTCAAGAGAATTATTTTGTAATAAGGGTCATTTGTATCAAGTGAGTAAAACTTGTGGTTGACTTGAGAGTTGACCAATTAGCTGTTTACGACCAAGTTTGAAAAGTTTAGGATGGAGAAGGACCATATGTCAGTTATTTTGTGTTCTTCAGTTAGTTTAAAGCCATTTTGAAAGAATGTTTGTAAGGAGGGACTATAGTTGCATAAGTGAGCATTATTAGGTCTATTTGAAGCCTCTTTGTAACATCCGTCACTTGAGGTATTATTTATTTTAAATATGTATTATTTGTTGTTGGGCTATGAATTGGATAAGTGGCTTATTGAGTGGACTTTAGCAAGTGGGTCGTGTAGTTGGGCTGCCCAGAAGGCGTACGTTGGGCGTAAGCCTGGTGTACGTGTGGCATAGAGGAGCCTTGGATGCGGGAGGCGCATGCACGTACGCACAACGTACCAAGGAGTACGCGCAGCGTACGTGAGCAGATTCCAAACCCTAATTTTTAGGGTTTAAGCCATATAAATAGAACATTATAACTCAAACCCTAGCCTCCTTACCAGCCTCTCAACCTCAGAAACCCTAGAAACCCTCTCTTACTCCATTATTGTGTGTGTTTGGCCTTTTTAAAGCTTGTTTTGGTGAAGTGAAGCTTGGAAGAAGAGAAGAGAAGTTGAAGAAGAAGAACTTGAG